ATTCCGGAAGTGGATATTGGAACAAAGCTAAGAGAAACTTCATTCTAGGAACACCCTGCTCTCTCTGCGACTGGCACAGACAGTAAAACACGAGGCAAGGGAAAACATTCACTAGCCTTATCATTTTTTAATGACTTTATTAGATAACTGCAGATAACTGTTATTTCCTCCATTATTTCTCCAGCTGCAGAAATAGCTGCAGCTAATACAGAGTTCATGAAGTCTTTTCTCAGTATCCCTTTGTGTACATTATAAAACTATTTCTCTGAATAGCAGTTTTTAGATTTAAAAAGGCTCCCTCTTCTAGATTTTACATCGATACTTTGAATTTTAAAAAATCTTAAATGTAAAATTACAAATAAAGTGACTTGTTTAAGACACATAAGAAATACATAATAAAACTAGAATTTTACTCACAAGACATGATTTTTTACCCAGCATGCATTCGAGTATCCTAGCCTGCCATTCACTGTTGCCTGGTCACTGGACAGTGATTTTATGGTGCATTCAACTTCATTACATATTACTCTGTTCCAGTGTATACTTTACACTTTGTTACTTATAGACCAACCCTCATTCCCCTCATAATTCTGCAGAGTCTATCTTGTCCACAAACGTTAATATTTAGTAGCTTTGGCTTGTAAATGTATTATCAAATAAGTCCATCCCTAATAAAAGTGTGCCCAGGTAGCAGATGCCTCTCCAGGGCAAAATTTAACGTTAAGGAATAGTCATTACTGGGAGTTCCAGCTGTTTTAGAAACTAATAGAGTTATAAACCCATGAATATAATGACTGGGAGGCATAATGGTGTTACATGTCTCTATTATATAAGGTTAAATATTTGGTTAATATTCATAATTTTTTGTCTGTCCCATGATTCAGTCAACCTTGGAGGAATGGGTCCTAGAGCAATGTTTGAAAGCTTCCACTGAATGAGTGAATGGCACAGATATTGCCCACCAGCTGCTTCTATAATCACAGAAGGGTGATTGATGTAGGAATATGAAGTTTAAAGTGTAAGTTTTGGCAATGTAATTATTTATGTATTAGACAGATGAGATCTACTATGTACATCTGCCAGAGCTGACCAAATTCTTCTGGGTAGAAAACAATTTCCAAATTCCTTTGCTGGAAACAACAATCACGCTGCTCATTGACTGATGCTCAGCAGTAAATAGCTCTGTTATTCTGTGACCCAGGCTAATGGAGCAGCTACCTTCTGAAATGTCCATTGTGCAAACGGAACAAGAGGGCCTCATATCGCCACTTAAATGCTGTGTGCAAGAAGAGATGTGCATAGATTCTGTGCATAGCTTACTGGTGGAATGAATCCCAGCACCCGCAAGGGGGCCAGAGATGCAATTCTATCCTATGCCTAGAAGGCAGAGAGATCCAGAAATAACTTCAATAGCACCAATGACAACCACAGTGGCAAGTGACTATTCGTCTTGTGTGGGGGCTGTTTCTGTATCGTTCTTTTTTCTTGTGATTAAACAAATAAGAGTGTTTCTATTTGTGGCCACTTTCTATGGGTCATGCACTGTTAGAGATTTATACACATTGTCTTATTAATTCATATGATAAGACCCTGGGAGTGAAGTATTGTTATTTTTATATAAAGACAAGAGACTGAATTAGTGAGGTTAAGTGGCTTGCCCACATAGTAAATGGTGGGGCTAAGATTAGCAGTTTGGTCTGTCTGACTCCGGAGATGATGCCCTTACGAGTGACATTGCATTTATGTCCTAATTCTGTGTCCTTCAGAATCCATCATTTACTTTTGAAGGTCACTTTCTCTTTACCCCCGAATGCCCTTTTTTCCACGATGCTGTGAGTGGATGACTTTAAATACAAAGTGGGAAACGAACAAGCTGGTTTTGCTATAGAGTCTCAACTAAAATAGCCAAGCTAAAGGAAAATTGCTGTTAGATCATTTCAGCAACTAGTCAAAGCTGAGTAAACTTCTGAGGCCACATAAATACGTTTGCATAGTAAGACCAAGTCCTAGATTCTGTTTCCACTGATTATGTAAAATACTTGTTCAGTATTGTCGAAATTATTAAGGCCGATCCACGTAGTTAAAAGGAAGATTTATTTAGTGGGTAACTTACAAATGAAAGGATAGGTAGGTCTCAGGGTCTGGGGAAGGTGTATCTCAGTCCAGCAGTGTTCTCTGGAGCTCTGCTCGGTCAACCGCCACCGTCCATGTCCACGGTCCCTGTCACGCCTACAGTTGCCGAAGCCTCAATGGGGGTTGGAACTTCCAGATCAAAGCTGGAATGGCTACCCACTACAGTTCAGTGTTTCAAAATAAATTGCTAGTAATTGCAAAGTGATTACCAGATTTACTTATTTTCTTAAAATTGAAATTTCCATTAGCAAAATAGCTTCTTACTTTCAATTAAGCATTGCTTCAAACTTTAAATTTTTTCATTGTAAACTTTCTTCTGTGAAGTATAGGTGTTTTTTCCAAATTAAATTTTTTTAAAGATAATGTTAGATAACATTGTTGTGTTTGTAAAAAAAAAAAAAAAGAAAGAAAGAAAAAGAAAAAAGAAATCCAACAATGATTTTTAATTGAGTGGGAGAATCACTTCTTTTCTTGTTTGCATCTAAGACCTCAAGATTAAGTAGGCTTCCCTTGTCTATTGCAGAGGATGTGGAGTCAAACTTCACACAACTAACATAACATAGGAGAACGAGCAGGCTATGTGCTACTTCCTTCACTCTTTGCTTCATATTTTGTCTACTTTTTAATATCTCTGAATAAATACATATTGCGATTACATAAAGCCCGAACTTAAATGACAAGTAAGTTTCACTTGTTTCCTAGAGGTACAAGAAATAATAGCCCACTGCACCATTCAAACCATATTCTTTTTGTCAGATGAAGTGTGGTACTCTGCTCCGTGCATAACATACAGAGTGGTTAAGCACACAACAACAACATACAGTTGACCTGACTTTTGGGCTATATGATCAGAGATGCATTCTGTCTACAAGTATAATTTATAAAGCCAGCCAAATTCCTCAGTAATAATGATGGCATCCCTTGTCTGATTCATTTTATGAGCTCTCAGTTAGTTTTGAACTTCAACAGGCAAAAACAATCTTCTAAATCTGAAGACTAGCACCTTGACAACAAGTATGGAGTAGAAATTTGGAAGAAAGGGGACCTTGGATGTAAAGACATATTGTTGAAGAAAGACCCTGCATGGTCCAAAAGGGTGCCTTTGGGTTTTGTTTTACCACACAAGAGTAGGGGTGGGAGTCATGTTTCTTTTTTGTGCCTTTGGTAGGTGGTAACTTTTTATAGCATGCCATATGGGTATTTTTTTTTTCAATTTTAATGTTGGTTTTTAGCTCACACATTCTAGGTGGGTGGCATTGGGCCTCAGGCTTTTGTAAATTGGCCAGGTGGGACTTTGACTTTGATGGGTCACTGGAGCATATTAACAATGTCCTAGGAAAGTGACAGTCTACTCAGGCACGGCTGAAAGCACCTGTGCCTTAGACAAACTCTAGCAGCACAGGTCACCTCATCATCATTCCTGGATGTAGTCACCATTGGGTGAGACAATGAGAGAAAGACCTTGACAGTTCCTTGGCACAGGCTGTCCTGCTATTTCATGGGAAGCTGCTTCAATTGGTTCTTTTAGCCATCACAAGGAACGGCACTATTTTCTGCTTTTAAGTGGCAGGGCAATGAGATGTCATATGTTCTACAGAACGCGGGTGAGGCTCTTGCTTCTCACCAGCGTAGGCAGTGCTAGACCAGCTGCCTCTCATTCTGTTAGTGTTTATGCTACATCACCTGCTTTTAAGATCAAGGGAGTGATTTATGAAAGCAGTGAACTCTGATGGTCAAAGTTGGTTTGAAATTGTGGTGACTACACTTTACCTGCTAATTCTGATTTTAGGCACCCAAATTATGAGTGTCCCTGAGTTGTATGTTAGGATTTTCTGGATGAGGAATGAGAATGGGAGGAGGCACTTCAGATGAACAGGCTAAGCTATCTTCTTGGAATGAGATAAAGAGATGCAGATCACAGTTAAACTGTTAACAACAATTTAGAAGGTCTGACTTAGCTGTTAGAAGGTCAGAATGGATGTTTGAGACCCAAAGAATTCCAACAGATGTAACAGTGAAATATGAACCAGATGGAAAAACTGCTGAGAAGATCCAGGCTATAAGGAACCACAGAGAACATCTTTTCAAAGTTGTACAAAGACAATCTTGGGCAAGAAAAATTGACTAAATAGACCTGGAAGATTGAGATGAGGCTATTTAAAATACTTTTTTTCCCTATAAGCAACTCTCTGTGACTCACTTAGCAATCTTTATTTTGGTTTGAGTTGGTCACACTAATGCATTTTAAGTTGCCCGAGATAACTTGATTTCTGGAGTTTAAAGGTAAACTCTCTTCTACTTTCCTTCTACATTGTTTATAACAATTTAATTTTGATCTGTTTCTCTCTACCTCATTCCAAGAGGAAAGACTAGCTTGTTCACCATTTGGTAGCATGTGTCTATACAAAATCTGAACACATTTAAAAGGAGAAAACTAGGAAGAAGAACGCAAAATAAAAATTAAAATTAGGAGTAGATGAGGTTCCTAATGACGGTCACTAATGGGTGGCATGCTAATATTTTCTTTATCCTGAAGGAACATGTTGTGAGGTATTTGCACACTGTGTGAAAATGTATTGCTGTGATGGTGTAATAAAAAGCTGAACATCAAAAGAAAAGGTTAAGTGGGACTTCTGGAGAGAGAGAGAGGACTCTGGGTGGAAGAAAGGTGGAGTCATGGATCTCTGTGAGTTCGAGGCCAGCCTGGTCTCCAAAGCGAGTTCCAGGAAAGGCACAAAGCTACACAGAGAAACCCTGTCTCGAAAAACCAAAAAAAAAAAAAAAAAAAAAAAAAAAAAAGAAAGGTGGAGTCGCAAAGGTGGAAACAGGAGGTTCAAGATGAAAGAGAGGTATTGTCACATGACAGCACATAGATTAATGTGTTAATTTAAGTTATAAGAGCTAGTGGGACAAGCCTAAGCTAAGGCATATCTTTCGTAATAATAATAAGTCTTTGTGTCATTATTTGCAGGCTGGTGGTTCCAACAAGAAAACATGTTATATAGGGCACCAAACATGGAGCCATGTATATCCACACAAGGCCTGAGAAAGCTAAAAAAAAAATCCTTCCTGGCTTCCTGGCCACTGTGGTCTCTCAGGTAGTCAGGTAGGCTGGCTCTTTTAAGAGGCCGTGCTGTGTAGCTGAGCACTTGAGCAGCCCACACTGGGTTCAAACTCCTGTTTCAGGCAGATACAACAAATTCCTAGAGCTGGGGCAGAGATTAGGCTCTCACAGAACTGAGGGGGGTGGAGCCAACCACCAGCATACCACAGGCTAAGTAGAGCCACATGGTGGTAGCCTAGCAGTTTAATTTTGGCTCACATGGTCAGAGGAGACTGCAGATGTGTTACGCATGTTCTCTCTCTCTCTCTCTCTCTCTCTCTCTCTCTCTCTCTCTCTCTCTCTCTCACACACACACACACACACACACACACACACACACACACAAACTAACAATAACAAAACAAACGAACAAACCAGGTTCAGGCTGATGAAACTTCTGAACAGGTGACAGTGTGTTTAAAAACATCAAATAAAGAAAAAGAAGATGGGTACAGACCATCATAGAAAAAAATTAGTTAAAGTCTTTGAAGAAAGACTAAAGTAATGTAAAGAGAATAAGCCATATAAGGATGGGAAATATAGAGGGCATCTGGATCCTTTATGGTGCTTTGTGGACACTGAATTTTTTAAATGCTAATGTACAAAAAAACAAAAGCTGCTGAGAGACATTGGATTATGGAAACTCCCAAATTAAACCAACTTATGTATTTTGAAAATGTTTTAACTTCAAAATGGAATTCAGTAAATATGTTGCATTGTGGGAGAGATGATGCTTATATTTCCACAGGAAACAAAACATTATGATTCTCTTCAAAATTAACAAAGATCAGATTTGATTGGGGGAAACCTGAAAATCTTGTCTACAGATACCAAAAAAGAAACCAAGAAAAACTACAGTTTAGGTGATGTGTATGCTGATCTCTCGACATGGGAGCAGCTCTGAGACTGGATGAGATGTGATAAATCTTTTTGTCTATAGAGTCCTCATGACTTATTATTACATGCCATCCTTACGTACAGCATGGATAGAGATTTATATTACAGTTTGGATATACAGTCTAAACAAACTTATAAAGTTAACAGATGCCTTTCACCTGCTCAAACATAAAACAAAAGATCATCTTTAACTGACTTGTGCATACTGCACATTCCATACTTGTGTTAATGCAGATATATATGTTACCTTTAAAAGTTTGTATGTTTTCAGAAAAAAAGGAACAGACTCCAATGAAAACAAGTAGCCCAAGTGATCCAGACTCAAAATGACTCTGTTGCAGTTTCCTCAAGATTCTACATCCAGAACAACTTCAAAACTGCTAGGTGAGATGGCCCAGCCTCACAGTCTACTCAAGCCAGGACTTCAGATAAGCTCTACACTTTCCCACCACACAGAGACTAAACAAAAAACAATACAGGGTCCCCTAAAGATGCTGTCACCCTTAGACAACAAGAAACAGTCTAGAGAACATGATGCCCACATTACTAAGAGGTAGGGTTTTTGGTCATTTGATGGGTTATGGATGTTTGTCATCATTTAGAGGAGTTGGTTGCAAATTGTTACTGGTCATGGTAAGGGAGTAAACTAAGCAAGGGAGGTTAGTTTCAATGATCTTTTTTTGAAAAGAAAAAATGGGGATGATAGGATAAAAGGGTAGATTATTGAATCTAGTTTAAACTAAAAAGCAACTATTAATTTCAAATATTTTAAATTGGTATAGATTTTTGTATAGTAATTCAAATTTAAGGTTATTTTTGTTAGAAAATACTCTGTATGTTTCTACTCTTAAGATTTTTTGTATGTTGATACAAATTTAAGGTTATTTTTGTTATTATATATACATGTATATATATGTTTCTACTTTTGTTTAAGGTATTGTGTCTATGCAGCTCATTTAACAATGTGATGTAAATTTCTAGTCCTTGAAAGTTATTATTACAAACTATTTAAGATAATTAAGAAATGTGTTAGTAGTTAGTCATCTAATAACCAAATGTGTGGCCATGTTAGGAATATTTTCAAGGTCAAACACAGATATATTTTAGGTAGAGAGTTGGTCTTCAAACACTTCAGAGACCTACAGAATATGGCATTTAAGATGTTTTAATAACCTAAGGCTCTTCATGACAGTGAGACACATCTGCTCCTGGCAGCATCAATTTACTTCAAAAAAGGATGATGGATATTGAAGAACCTCCATGTGGAGTTTGCTTTTATTATGGCAAAGTTAGATATTGGGCAAGAAACTGCCCTTGCCTTGACTGCTGACAGTATGCTATCCAAATTGGACAAGAGGACACAAAAGAAAGTGACTGCTGAACTTTGCCAAGACAAGGTAGGACAGCCCTTCAAAATTTCTGCTTCACAGAAAAGTCTGTCAGATATTCTAGGCCTCAGGCTGAAGATAGATGCCCCAAAGTTGTAGAGGAACCTTGGGTGACTGTCTAGGCAGCCAGCTGTTTCTGTCATTTCTATAGTTTTAGAAGTTGCTTGCTCAGCACTTTGTGTTTACTCAGGTAATATCAAATCCTTCTCAAGCCTTTGATGGGGTCAAAGACTAGATAGTTATAGTGAAAGTTTTTCTTGTTACCAAATTCAGAAAAGAAATTTATAAAAGATATAAAGTTTATAAAAACATAAAAGTTTAAGTTGTTTATCTAAGAAGATGTTTTTAGGATGGTAATACAAGTTATGATAGAAAATGGTTTAGCTATAAAACTTTGGACTCACTATGATAGGATAGATAATACATACAGTACTTTTTTTGAATTTTCCAAATACATATGGACTAAATATTATGAATGTAATTCTTACTTGCTAATTGTTCATATTGTATATAGTTTTACTATTTAGAGTTAAAACCTTCCCTTTTTATTTAGACAAAAGGGGGAAATGTTGTGGGATATTTATACACTGTGTGAAAATGTATTGCTGTGACTGGTGTAATAAAAGGCTGAATGGCCAATAGCTAGGAAGAGGTTAGGTGGGACTTCCAGGAAGAGAGAGGATTCTGGAAAGAAGAAAGGTGGAGTCACAAGCTAGACCTGGAGAGGAAACAGGAGGTGCAAGATGAAAGAGATGTAATGCCACATGACAGAATGTAGATTGATATAAATGGGTTAATTTAAGTTATAAGAGTTAGTGGGACAAACCTAAGCTAAGGTCTAGCTTTTGTAATTAATAACAAGTTTCCACATCATTATTTGTGGGCAGTCCTGATGAGAAAGCATATTACAGGAATGTGCTTGAGAAATTAATAGTATCTGTAGTTTTATTGAAGGCATAATAAGGGTAAGGTAGAATGTGCATCAATTTGAAGAGAGGCCTCCTATAGACTGGGATTATACAGCTAATAAAGATGAAAATAGACATTTTCGGATAGAACAAGACTCACTGATTATCTTGCTTTCACAGTGGAAGTCTCCAAAAGATAAAATCTGGAGTGTATTACTAAAACAAGTTTCACAGAGAGAGAGAAAAAAAACACAGAGAAAACAAGCATAAATCACTGAAGCTCAGTAAACAGTATGAGCCCTGCATCAAGTAGAGAGAAAGAAGACAAAGTAAATAAAATAAAAATGAAACAGTTGCTAACATTCCTTAAAATAATCAAGGTTGCCCAAACCAAGATAAAGCTGAGCAATTCTTACATCCAAGAGTGGTGTTAAGATGCATGGCTCCTAGATGTGAATGTACTATCTTCAATTGGATGAAAACTGAACTCATGCAAAAAACTACAGACAACTGAAGAAACATCAATGTAATAATTATAGTATATTAATTTTGGTTAATTGTGAAAACTATATCAGTGTTGTAAGCTGTAGACAACAGAAGAAACTTGGTGTGCATATGAGAACTGAGAGCTCACTTTACAATTTACCCTTATGTCTGAAGTTCATGTGGATTAAAAGATTTAGAGAAATTGTAAAAGAGGAAATTAGGAACAACTGCTCTGAGAAACATCACTGGTCCTTACTTGGCAATAAAAGACAGGGTACAGAAATTGATGGTCATGTTAATATGAAAGTCTATCAACAATGATTGTTTATCTGAAGTGACTGAGAAAGAAGAAGAACCCTTTCTAAGAAGACATATTTTAAAGCATTCTACATGTATTCAACAGACATGGTAACTGATTCATGGGACTGAAAATATCCACTTCAAGGCATTATGGGTGTTGTGTTAGCAAATAGTGCTGAGAGTTCAACACTGAATGCCCAATACACAAAGTCCAATGAAGGAACAAAATTCAAGAGGGTTTCAATATGGTAAACAGAAAAGTAAAACATCTAAATTGACTGAGTCTATTTCAATTACAATTTTATGAACACCACAAAACCAAATATATCATAAACTGGACCCAAGGATGGATGTTTTAATTGGATGACTTTTTCTCGCTGATAAGTTGTTTGCTATCATTACCCCAATGAAAGAATTGAGTTAATGTATATTGCAGATTCTGGGCATCTCTTGAAGACTAACTTGCATTTGGTGAGGACTACACTAACATTGTCTATGCTCACTTTCTGTCTCTTGAGTACTCTTGCGATTCTGCTGTGATATTTGGCATTATTAAGCACTGAGTTTAAAATTATAATTTTGTTTGTGATAAATACCCCTAATGGTTTATTTTTTAAGGTTCATGTCACATTAACTCTTTATATTAAAAAAAGATAACTTGTGACAGTCTCACTGATAAAGTATGTTCAGTTTTGAGTCACCAAAAGAATTACCAAAACAAGCTGTTGAAAACAGTTTCTCCCTCATATGGAGAATCTATCCTGTTGAGACTGAGTAGAACAAGATGTTGAGGGGGATGAAATTTTAACTACATAAAGGAATAGAGTAAAATTTATTTCTCTTGATTATAAGCTATGAGAACATTTCTATTTTTATAACATAATTTATTCCTATGAAGTTTTAATAAGGATGATATTTAGATTAGAACATATTTGTGTTTCTAGTTTATAGTTGGAGAATCTTATTTTTTAATCACATTATGGACCTTCTGATAAGGACCACTGAACATGGTGGCTGGATATCACTTTGGTTAGAGAGCAGAAAAGTGTATTTTCTTCAGAAATATATTAGAAAGGGGGAAGGTGAGGGGGGCCGGAGTGGGGAGAACAAGGGAATCTGTGGCTGATATGTAGAACTGAATTGTATTGCAAAATAAAAATAAAAATTAAAAAAAAGAAAGACACATTTAAAATCTAAAATCTATTATCTCCCATTATTGAGTAGAAAAATATGTAGCAAGGATAGGTGGACATTTCAATAGATGGTGAAAATCAATGTTGAAATTGTAACTTAAGTCTCACATTAGAAGCCTCTGTCATTTGATTGATCCATCTATTTGCCCATTCATTGAACTATGCATCCCTCATCTGTTCAGCACTTTTCAAACAAATTCAAATCTTACTTCAGGCTTAGATTGACAGGGTGCAAGAAATAAATATTTGAATGATTAAGCAAACAAATGAGCTCTGTGATAAAATGCCAGTCAGCGTGTGTATTTATAAAAATATGTAAGTATAATATATAAGATTGATCACGTCCTTTCACATTTACTTTGTGAGCGTGTACTACTCAGTAAAATCAGGTGACATTTGCAAGATATTTGGAATACCATGGTGATTGATAGCTTTTCTTTCTTAAATAGGGAAACTTTCCACTACACAGAACTATAAGAAACTATGGTTCTCATTTCTCTGGTCACAGTTTGAGTTTTCTTTTTTCTTTTTTGATGTATGCAAAGTCCCAAATTGAAGTGAAAGTCCTTTCGGCTGGTAGTAATTTACTTTCCTTAGAGTGCTTAGTGGTGACATAATTGATTTTGTTGCCATTGATTAAAAGTCACATTAAGTTTAAAACTGTCAGCTGAACCCAGAGATAACATTTTCATAATGACTTTTAATAAACATGGAAGAAGTGATTTCATTGCATTCATAAATTTGATGAATGGCATTTTCCCAGGACCAAAATAAGTGAGAGGCTCATTTGCACGTGTAATTACTGCATTACAGGTAGAGTCAGTAGCACATTTCTTTTGTGTGTGTGGGGGGGTGGGGGGGGGGGTGGTGTGAGACATGAACAAACCAGATATAGGTTTAGAAAAAACTCTAAAAATTGATACTATTGGGAGTTTCAGAAAGCTAATCATGTTTTCATGTACAAAAAAGGAAAGATGGGGAACATTCTTATTCACTCTGACTGACATTGCTGAAGATTTTTATCTACAAAAATACTTTAGTTAGGCATTTCTACCTCCCAGGTCCAAATCAGAATGTAGCCACTTTGCTGAGCACCAGTTTTCCCTGCTTCTGCTCCACCCACATTAAGATTATATCAATCAAATTGTCCCTTAGATCAATCTCATCGTGCAATTTTTCTGCTCAGAACTTTGAATATTTCTTCTTTTGCTGAAGTCAAACCCAGAATCGTAACCATGGCCAGTGTGATTGTCGTGTGCATACAGCATGTTTTTACCTTTCCAGTCACTACTCCTTACATTATTTCAAAATATTGCCTTCTCACAATCCATTTGATCTGTCTCACCACTCAGGCAGGCTCTGTCTCAGGGCTTTGTGTTTGTTATTCCATTTACCTTGGATATTTTTCTCAAGTTTCTTATATGGCCAGATTCATATCTTCACCATAAAGTTCCTGGTCATATTCTCTACAATGTATATGTTGTACATACCACCCCTCTCTTACTTTTTGTTCACAGAGTGTTTCTAGATATGCAGTACACATAGATTTTGTTTACCTCTCTTGTTAATTGTTTTACTTCAAACAGAAAATGTGCCCGAAGAGAGCAGAAAGTTTGGTGTACACTGCCATATTCAAGTATGAGAACAGTAATTGATATGTAGTGAATATTAGATGCTTATTGAATAAGTGAATATGTTTATTAAATTTTGATTCTATGCCCAAACATAAATGCATAAATAGTTAGCTCATAAATTAGACACTTACTTGAGATTTTATATTACTCTAAAATTTTAACTGTCTGCTTCTGGGCAAGTGTTAGAAATACAAGAGTCAATAAATCCTGTACATGCTTCTTAAGAACGGAATTCTTGTTATTTTTAAATGAGGTTTAGAAAATGTATGTAGATTTTGGAGAGGTAGAAACACCAGATTCCCCAAGGGGAGAATTGTGAGGTCATTATCTCGTGCTTCTTGGAGAAAGTAGAATTGATCCCTTCATAAGGGGATCAATTTGTACTTTCAACTCATGATGAAAGAGATGAACAAGCAGAGGTAAGAAAAAAAATCCTTTTAAAAAATATTATGTGTGAGTGTATGTGCAGTATGTTTATACTTCATGTCCGTGGATCCAGAAGAAATTATTATCTAGCTCTGATATTCTGGAGCTAGAGTTGCAGATGGCTGTGGGCACTATGTGGGTTATGGGAACCTAACCCGGGTTGTCTGCAACAGGAGCAAACTCTCTCTACCTCTGAGCCTTCTCTTCAGCTGCAAGAATAATTGTTGCTTTAAAATACAGGTGTCCCCCCCCCCCCCCAGGAACACAGTACTTGACACATGTTATGTCTTCATAGATACTGGTTGAGTGAAAATTAACTCTGCTCTTTATCTGGAGGAAAGTGAGGCCAGTGCTGACTCAAGGTTCAGGAGGAGTCTGTATTCCAGAACAACTCACAGGAGACACTACTGAGAAGTATGGTAGATTGTGAGCCAGATGAAGTAAGACCTTAGCCCTTACAGTTGCTGTTGAGTGGAGCCTCTGAAAAGATGCAATTCCAATCTGGAGCCTGCGGTCACTAGTAACAATCAGAGCTAGGTCAGTAATGGCAATTAGGGGTCACATGAAAACGCTCCAGTGGAAGGCACACAGCTCAAGAGGAAAACCCAACTAGCATTCACATGAGGGCTGTTCGTAAGCATGTGAAAATACAAATTCTGTAAACTGGACTTCCACATGAAAAACAGCCAGTAGAGCTTCAGGTCCTTGATGATTTAATTCATCCTTCCTTATTATCCTTCATATTTAACTCTGTACACACAGAGCATCTGGAAAGCGAGTTCCTGTGGAGTAACTGTAGTTTTAAGAAAAACAATTTTTTTCTTTATTCTTCCTGTCTTAGCGTTCTACTGCTGTGAATAGACAGCATGACCATGGCAACTCTTATAAATGAAAGTATTTAACTGGGGTGCCTTGAAGTTTGTCCATTCTCATCATGGCAGGGAGCATGGCAAAGTGCAGGCAGACTTGGTACTGGAGAAGTAGCTGAGAGTGCTGTATCTGGATCCACAGGCAGCAGGAAGAGAGCAGCTGGGTCTGGACTGAGTTTCTGAAACCCAAAGCTCACCCCCAGTAACACACTTCCTCTAACAAGGCCACAGCTCTGAATCCTTCCAAATAGTGACATTCCCTGGGGACCAAGCATTCAAATCTATGGGGGCCATTCTAATTCAAACCACCACACTTCCCCTCTTTCAAAAGGCTCAAACTGTATTTATTAGCTCAAGGTACTTTCAAAACAAGCTTGAGGTTTCTAAGGATCACATCTTTTGTGAGCTTGTGTGTGTCAGTAAATGTGTGTGCAGGTACACAGGCATGTACATAAGGAGGCCAGAGGCAAATGTCTAGTATCTTTCAAGTTTTTGATTGTTTATGGTGTGTCTCTGTGTGCATGTGCATGAGCATATGCGTGCGTGTGTGTGTGTGTGTGTGTGTGTGTGTGTGTGTGTGTGTGTGTGTGTGTGTGTGTGTGTATAAGGCTGATATCTGGTAATCCTACAATATTTCTTGTCTAAATTCAGAGCTTGGCAATATTGCTAGTCTTGCTAATGGGCCTGCTCTGGGGATCCTGTGTTGTCTGAAATCTCAGGTGGGCCACTCATTCCACCTGTGTATAATGGGCTCTGGGGTCAGAGAACTTGCCCGTGGGGTGCAGATACTTCCCCCACTGCCTTGTTTGTTTGTTTTGGGGTGTTCTTGTTTGCTTGCTTGTTTTGGGGTACTCTGTTTGGGGGTGCTCTTATTTGTTTTGGGGTGTTCTTGTATGTTTGGGGGTAGTTTTATTTTTTTGAGATGAGTTTTTCACTAAACCTGGAGCGTACTGATTCAGCTAGACTGGCTTTCTCCTCTTAATTCCTGAATTATCTCTGTAATTGAGTTTCCTTGTACTCTTATCCCAACATCAATGTTGTGCAGCTCTATTTGCCTGAGCTCCATTTTATATCGTGATCTAGATTTTATTAAGAGCTCAGCCAGAACCCTCTATCTGCACTTCACTGACCTTCTCCTGCCTCAGAGTCTGGTGCCTCACTGGGCATTTTTGTGGTTGCTGCTCATTTATAGGTCTATAGATAAGGATGGCATATATGAGTAAAGCTACTTAAAATCAGTTGATATGGCCAAACACAAAACAAGCTCAGTGGCATTTTTACAGGTTGTTTGTCTCATAAGGTTTTGACAGGGCTTTTATTTTTCCTCAACCTTTCAGGTCTTTGTGTATACATTACAGCTTCCGATTTTGTGTTTTTAGGGAATCCCTGTGTGTAAGAACATGAGCGTCTCTGCATCTACTGCTTTTTCTTCTTTTCGTTTGTTTGTTTCTCTTCCAATTTGTTTACTTTTGTTTTTATCTTATATTATTGTTCCTTAGATGTCTGCTTGTTTTCCAATGAGACAGAAAGGGGGTGGGAAGGTGTGTGTGGAAAGCTAGGAAGAGTAGAGGGAGGGGAAATTGTGATCAGGATATATCGTATAAAAAAAATCTATTTTCTTTTTTTTGAAATTTAACATTATTTTTTAATTGATTCTTTGGGAATTTCGCATCATGCACCCCAATCCCACTCATTGCATAGTCCTTCCATGTCTGCCCCTCACCCTTGTAGCCTTCCCCCAAAAAAGGAAATAAAAAAAGAAGAAAAACGTTTCTCACCTGCCTTTCCTGCCTCTCTGTCATGCATCTTTTGTTGTAGTGGCCTTGAAAGCTTCAGTGTGTTCTGCAGTAGACCCTTTTGCCAAAACAGCTTTACTTGCGGGGTGTCTGCACCGGCCTGTGGCTTTCTTCCAGTCTTTCCAGCAAAAAAACATCTATTTTTCAATAAAAGAAAGAAAAAAAATAAAACTGCTTGCTATATATTTTAAAAGAATATTTATTTTTAAATCTGCGATTTAGCATAAGAGTTTGAGGAATTTTTGAGCACCTCTCATTTATAAACTTGTCTTGAGCAAAAGTCAACATTCTTTAAGAATTATTTGAAACTAATTGAGCTTGAGAATTTGACTGGTGGACAAGGAGTGGAAAGACACAAACCAAAAATATTTTCCTTTGAATTATGGTTTGTTTATACTACTTTAAAATGTTAAGGACCACAATTACAGTGGATTAATTTTTATAGATAGTTTAATTCAGATTAAAACAAATTATATACACAAAGATATTATATGATATTGTAATTCCCTTACAATAGATAATTATAAAGATAAACTAGGGTATTAACATTCCATCATCTTGAATTTGCCTTATAAACAGTACATGTGGTTTTGATCTTTTAGGTTATTGTGTTTTTCTTGTAACTCATATCTTTTGCTTCAATATGAGGGTCAAAAACTCCTAGCACATATAGTACTCATGTGCAAATAAGTAAAACCACAGTTAATTTCCTGGCTTAATATGATTTTGTGTACACACACACACACACTCTATGTAAACTTTTTAGCTTTAATGTGGTTTTCCTGGCTAGTTTTTATTGTTAATTTGACACAAGATAGAGTTATCTGAGAAGAGAGAATCTCAGTTGCAAAGGAACCTTTCTAGGGCTGTAGGCAAGCCTGTAGGGCATTGTCTTAATTAGTGATGGATGAGGGCCCAGCCCATTCCACATGGTACCACCTCTCAGCTGGTGGCCCTGAGTTCTGGAAGAAAACAGGTTGAGCAAGCCAGTAAGCAGCCTCCATAGCTTCTGCATCAGCTTCTGCCTCCAGCTTCTTGCCAGGACTTCCTTCAATGATGAAGTGTAAATAAAATAAACCATTCTCTC